GTTGCCTGTGATAAACTGAATACAAAGAAGTTAGGAATTTCAACAGCTACGCAGCTTCGTCTTACAAGAGAGAAATTTGGTACTGTGATGGTGGCTAAAGGACATAGTGAGCTAGCTGGATGGAGTGAGACCAATGTACTCAAATCTGGAGTTACATTAGAAGACTTTAAAATCATAGACCTTCAAAAAACTAGAACTCACTTTGGTATCCCAGAGAAAAAAAGAACAGATATTGAAAAAATACTCCCTTATCTTCACGATGATGCCAAGAAGTATTTTAAAGAAAAATTAGGTCATCCAGGGCAAGTTTCTACTGTAGGAAACAACGGTTAAAAATCTGGCACTTAAAACGTTTTGACTTGCAAACCTGATGGCACTTACAACGGTTTGACCTTAGACAGATTTTTGAATTTTTTTTAAGTAAGCTTTGTTTATTGTTCCTTTGTGGTATGTTTGTATTATATAATACCTTTAAACTAATCCTTTTTCATTATGTTACATTGTGAGAAATAAACATGTTTGATAAAAAACTGTTTTTTACTCCTCCTGAAAAATTTATAATTTGGCACTTACTACGTTATGGAAATGCACGCTTCAAATATAGATGCTATGTCAGACATATAAATCTTCTGAAATTGGTTTTTTCTCAAGAACCTGTCACACTGTATGTTGAATGTTTTCTTTAGGAGGGCCATAAAACGACAAAATCCAAAGGCTGTAGTTTATGTGATGTGTGAGGTGGTATTGAGATAACATGTACAAGATGAGAATTATATCGTAACTATCAAGAGAGATGTGACTCTCGTGATTGTCCATGATCAATAAGACGGGATCTTTTCTTCTGTTGGTCTTACGTTGTCTTTGAAATGTGTGAGACCCTGCTTGAAGAGGTCTTCATTTGGAGCATTTGTAAATGGCTCCAGCTGGTCCACTTCTCTAACTGAGGTGACATCTTCTGCCTAGGATATATAAACATGGGCGGTATGTATGCACCTGAAGCACTCGAAAGTGCAGACAATCGTAATGTTTCTGCCTCTTACCCAACTTGTGTCAGAGCCCACCTGATATTGACCCTTAGTAGCTAAAACCTTTCCATGTTTTTGGACCGTACCGGTTTCTTCCATATTAAATATTCTAGTGGCCTTAAAAAGATGTTTTTTGTAAACGTCTTCCAAATTAAAAAAAAAACAAATAAAAAATAACAGATTTGTTAAAGGCAATAACTCGGTTCAGACTTGTTGCTGAGGGTTGTCAGGCTTGGAATAGCATTCCTTTTACTAAAACCGAAAACCCGGTCCTCCCTAGTCATTTTGGTACCTGTATTAAAATTATGTTTTATGTTTAACTTTTCCGCAAGACTATTTTCATAGTTGTTTGATGTGATTAGCTAAAATAGCTTCTTGTTCTGGTGAAAAGTACAATTGCCTTCCCAAGGCTGGTTTTTCGGTAGAATTAGATTTGAGACGGTTATGAAGCGTAATTCTTGGAATATTCAATTCAAAGCCAACACTTTCTACATCCCCTTTGAACCAATTCAAATTCCTTTTTTAGTATCTCCTGGTTCCATTTGTCCCTTTCCGTTGTTCGTTTTCTGGATTTCATCATTTAAAACACATCAAAAGCAACGACTTTGGTATAATGTAACTGCATATTTAATTTTAAATTAAATGGAGTAACACCATCTGTCGACACATCTGTCGATATTTCCCCCTATTGGTGTATCGGCATTATCCCTGTAGGACAAGATGACGGTTACACAATTCTACAGACTTAACTGAATGGTAAAATGTAATATGAACTATATTAAAATTATATTTATAATTTGCACTTTCTATTTACCTAAGTGTTTTTATATTAATATAATTTGTTATAGAGTTACTTTGATTTGCAGAGAAGTCAATAATTAGATCAAAAACTAATAAAAACACATAGCAATTCAGTATAAAATAACTAGTTTGCTTGGATGACAGAAACTAACTGTGGTGTCACTCGCTAAGCAGCAACACTATGCAGTGAGTAACGTCTTCAACTAAAAATAAAACCAAAACCCACTGTGTTGGTATTACCCCACATATTATTATGTCGGGATTCTTCCGGTCTACCTTATGTTTATATTTAATACAAAATAAATTTTATTGCTGTCAAATAAAAAAACTTTTTTTTCTTAACTTAGGGGGTATGGTATTTTTTGCAATTGATAGTATAACTCTTTAAGAGCTTTCAGTTAAAATATCAGAGCAAGCGGAGCAAAATCGACGGAGTTATAGGCATTTGGGAGCGAGTGAGATGAATCAGTGAGGTGAGTGATTGAGACGAGCGAATGAGTGACATGAGTGTGTGAGGTAAGTGAGTGAAGTGAGTAAGTGAGTTGAGAGAGGTGAGTGAGTGGGTGAGGTTAGTGAGCACTGATATAGAAACTGGCATAAGTATACGGTCAAGTTCTAAAAATTATTTTTCAACTCGATGTTCACTGCATCTCAAAAACTAGTTGACCGATCCTTCTCAAATGTTGCATAAGTACGCCTTTTATAGGTCAATTACTAGGTCGTAACGTCGAGAAATTATCCATTTTGCTTTTATAATTAATTTTAAAATATCAAGTTATTCAGATTAAAAAAAAAAATTTTTTTCAAAGAATTTACTCATTTTTATAATTTAGGGAAACTCATATAAACTAACGAAATCTTTTTGGCTTGTTGTCAATACATGATCCACTTATAAATTACGATGAACACCGCAAAGTGACTATTCTTAAGTTAAGTTCTTTTTTGCATTTTGGAAAATTAGCTCTCATTGACTCAATGGATACTTTTGTACCAAAATTTTAGAAAATACTCTTGAAATGTTTGACTATTATAATGTACTAATGTTATAAATAAATTGTTTTAAACAATTTTTCAAAAAATAACTCTTAAACATATGTTCTAACTGTTTAAAATTAACCATCCCCCTAAGTGTTCAAATTGCCACCCTCCTGCCTTTAGGCAGTAACTGAACCGACAACGACAATCCTCTGAAACATTGTGAATCATTAATCTAATTCTATATTTTAATATTGTAAATTTTTTGGTCGTTCGGCGATCTGGATCATACTCATAGATTTCTGAAAATGTATTGAATTAACGAGAAGTAAATTAGTTCCCAATTTTGTCAACTATTAAAACACTTGAAGAAGTATATAAATAAACATTTAGTACCTCTGTTCTTTCTACTTGAATTGAATTTTATAGACTTTTTTTTAGAAATTTTATTTTTTATAGACATTTTTAGGGGTTTTTGGGAGGTTAAGCATATTTTTTGACATCGACTCAATCTGAATAAATTTTTTGATATTTTTACTTTTTATGTGAGCAAAAAATAAGACTTAGCGCAATTTGTCTATTCTTATAAACCCGTAGGTTGAGTGAACATAACCTAAAAATGCATTTTTTTTTTTCGAAAAAATCGTATACATTTTTTTGGAGGTGGCTGGAGGTCCAATTGTTTTTGTGTATTTGATCAAAAAATATATCTCTGATTTTTGTCAGATTGTTTAGTATGGTGCACCATTTTAAAAAATCGAAAAAACTTCTCTTTTTAATCTTCCAAAACCCCTAAAAAACAGTTTTTCGGGTTTTTGGAGATGTGAAACCTTACGAAAAAATCTGAAACAAAATCAGAGATATAGTTTTGGATCAAATACACAAAATAAAAAAAATGGACACTCAGCCATATTAAAAAAAAAAATTATGAGCTTTTAAAAAGAATGCTTATTAAATTATGTACTCAACTTTCAGGTCTATGAAAAATAGACAAGTTTTGTAATAGCCTCAACCATGCGTGTGAATTTTTTAAAAATTTTTAATTGTTTGCAACCTACCGAAAAAAAGAATAATAAACACGAAAAAATTACGTTTGTGGAATAGGGTAAGGCGGTGTGCGGGCTAAAATTGCGCTGTCTTATTTTTTAATCACATGAAACGTAAAAAAAGAAAAAATTGATTTAGGTTGGATCGATCGAAAAATATGATTAACCCAGCAAAAAACCTAAAAAACATGTTTTTTTGAGGTTTAGAGGTGTTTTGCCCAATTTTTCAATGTCCTAAAGGTCTCTAATTTAAATTAAAATCAATATAATCAATAAAACCCCCCATGTAAATCTATAAAATGGGGAAAATCCCCCAAAACCTCCTAAAATACATTCTTTTTGGAGTTTTGAAGAAAATCTGGAAAAATCAGAGATATAGTTTTTGATCAAATATATGCAAAACAATAAAAATTAAAAATTGAAAGCTTTTGAGAGGGAGATGGGGAGGAAGGGGGGCGGTGTAAAATTGAACGTAAAAAAAATTCTAATTAATTCTGTGAATGAAGGCATTTTTCCTATCTTAACGGGGATACCCTTAGTTGGTTAATATTTTTTAACAAATGATTTTTTTTCAAATTTGAAAGTAAATTTACAACTTTTATCAACATTCAAAATCATGTGTGTTTTTTAATTTTTTTGGAAAAAGGTGAACAACTAAATAAAAATAAAATTTTTGAACCATTGTACATACTTAATAATTTTATAATTTTACACCGAATCTACATATGAGAATATACAGGGCAATTCATTGAAATGCCAACTTCATGGTGACTTCCATCTTTACCGGAAGTACAATTTTAAAGATTTTAAATTCGAATATTTTCATAGATACTCAGGTGAGGTCAACCTGAAATATGCTGCGTACTATAACACGCCACATCCCATTTTTTGTTTATATAGGCTTGTGTTCTATATATTAGTGTTTTAGAATTTATAATATTCTCAGATATTTGTCAGTTAAATTGTACTATTAAGTGTATTTATGCTTTAGCGGCTTTTTGTATTATGCTTGTAAATAAAATCTAGAATAGATTATTTTAAACTACTCACAAATACTTCCACATATAATTTCACATATTTTTTTTTATTTTTTATCAACCTTGAGTCATTTATAATTATATTTTAAACTGTACATATATTTTGTATTTTTTAGACCTTACCGGATTCTGATAAGGTATTTTTTATATTTTATTATTATTTATTAATTTACTTGTAAATATGTATAAGATTTTTAACTATTTTATATTATATTATATTTATAAAAACCCTGTAAACAACCCATACATCAAATTTGTTTTAAAACTACAAAAACTATAATAATTTTAGAATCTAATAAAAAATTTTAAGAAAACTAAGGAAAGGGGTTTAGAATAATAATAGACACGTAAAATTACTTTTGGATCGTGTTACGTACAATAGTTTTTCTGTAGCCGTTTTCATGTTAAAAAGAATATATGGATACTTTACTTATGAACTTTTATTAAACATTTTAAAGTTACTCTAGTGAATTCAACATTTCAACAATTATAACAATTATTTACATTGATATTGTTAGGAATATTAACAGAAGTGTCGCAGGCAATTTTTCCAAAAGTGTTAATACCAGTAGGTTGGTATAGTACACCTTCCATTTTTGTAATATACAAATAACATACTATGCGGTGTGTTTGTTTGACGTAATGACAAATATTTTCTGTATAAAGAAATGTTATTTGCTCCAATAACCACAAATTTTCTATCCATGTTCGTTTTAGAATTGGGAATTTTAATCATCAATAACATGGATATTTTTTATCTTCTATGTCATCTAAACTCATTTTGCAAGGCTCCCCACGACGACAAGCGCCTGCCAAACCAATTAATTTAATGCAACCTAAAATTTACAAAAAAAATACTAATAAAAGAGAAATTAGATTTAATTAAGTATATAACCGTTGTCATTACGTAGATCTTATCTTCTGCTTCTGATAAAAAGTTATCTATTTCTTATTTATTCAATGCTTTCGATTTCTTTGGTTTGTAGCCGATTGATTTTCTTTTAAGGAAAACAATAACTTATGGATAGCGGCTTATATCTATATTATTTTTAATGTTAAGTGTGGACTTAAGCATGGCGTGGCGTCAGACAGAGATGCCAATATGTTATGTCATCGATGTTGATGTTGTTGAATACCTACCCTGAAGTTTTATTTTACGTACCGTTAAAAAATTATAGCTAAGGTGTCAAAATCGGTAGAGAAATCAGATTATACCGCCTGAATGGTAGAGGGCCTAAAAGACGTTCAAACTCTGTCGAACGTGGTAAACAATGAATGCAATTGAAAATGGCTGTTCCATCAATCCAGCAAAGACAACGAAATGGATGGAAATCTTCAAATATCTAGGCAGCCGGATTGGCTGCTGTGTTAAAACGACGACTAAATTTCGACCAGAATAGAACTGACACGCAAAAACTTCATTTATCATGCTCTCCCATACAACTCTCAAACATGAATGTTTACCAAGTAAAACTAAAAAGATCCTATTTTAAAAAGTCTAAATATATTAGAAGCGCTCGAATTGTCGTGTTATCGTCGCATGAAAAAGAAGACATTGAAAAACAAAATATCTTTTTTCCGCATCAATCGTGCAAGGTTGTCTAAGGTATGGATCTTCATTAAAAGTTTTCTTACTAAGTAAAGTCAGCTTCATTGTCTTTACAAAGAGTGGCTTACATTCGAGAAATTGCGATACTTTGAGCCTTTGGACTTTCGTTAAAAAAATTTTCTCATAGGTCATGTAGAGATGTCGAACAATGATCGCCTAATTAGATAAGTATATATAAATGCTAAGTTATTTGTTAATTTTTAATTGCGATTAAGCTCTTCATTAACTTATATTATATTTTATAGAACATACCGAACATACCGGAACCAACTAAGGTATTGTTTTGATTAAATTTATTTTTAGTTGTTTGACAATATGAATTTTACTAATAATTTTGTTTTAAATCATATACACACATTACTATCAAGTAGCACTCTTAAAATAAAAATAATTTTTGTAATATCAACAGGAAGTGGCATCCTTCTTTTTAAGTCCATTGCGTCACGGTTATTATAGCGTAGGGTAATTTTTGAATGACACTGTAAATGTCAAGTACACGTCTGTGAAGCTTAAAAAATAGGTTAATTTTACTACGTCATTTATGTTTCCAACTATTCTAGAATTGAAAAACAATGTAAGCTTTTGGTGTGTCATCTAAAAACGCCTAAAAATTGCTTTAGTTTAATTGGTCAAAATTATTTAGTAGATAGCTCATACGATAGAATATTTGACTTCTGGTATGAAGACCCCGTTTTGATACCCGGCGTCTGCGAAAACATCTAAATGTTTGTATTAATATACTAAAGTTCCAAGTTAACTCAGCCTTTATAAAATTCGCTATCTTTGGTTAAAATACTGTTGTGATAAGTAATAATGTAGGGATTAAATCTACCAATCCTATGTAACACATAAGAATATCAACCCATTATTTTATGGTTATTGCCATGCGTAACATTATTCTTCTAAGTTTACTTTTGAAAATATGACAAATTACTTACCATGTATTCTATAATATATTCTTCAATATTAAACTGCAGTTATCTCTTTAACATCTCGGATAAAAATATCTACTAATACTTTGCTTCCCAATTTGAAATACTTCTGATTTGAAATACTCTAAATTTTAAAATAAATTGTTGAGGTGCTAACGATGCTAGTTAGATCGATACGTTCGATAGGGTAGGCAATGGAAAATGGGGGGAGCACTGCGGGAGGTGGCCCGAAAGGCTGAGAATACTGCGGCTGCGTTGGGGAGGGTGATGTCCAACATTAGAGGACCCAAATCCAAAATGAGGAGGGTCTTACACGGTGTACAGTCGATCGTCCTCTATGCGGCATCAATCTGGAGCGGGGCGGTACAGATAACGGCCTATAGGAGGCTCATGACACGAGTGGACAGAACGAGTCTGTTGCGAGTAGAATGTGCCCACAGGACTGTGTCTGTGGCACCCTTGTGGACCATCACTGGATGTGTTCTGTTGCATGTTCTGGCGGTGGAAAGAAAAGAGCTCTGTGAGAGAAGAGGACCAAATCTTACTATGGCCGAGAGAAGACAGGAAAGGGAAAGGTCAATTGAAAGATGGCAAGAAGAATGGAATAACACGGAGGATGTGGCATAGTGGACGAAAATTCTGAACCCGAACATAAGAGATTGGGTGGACTGTAGCCACAGGCGACTGAATTATTTCCTGAAGCACGTGCTCACAGGACACGGGTGTTTTAGGACCTACCTCTCTAGGTTCGGAAAGGCTGACACAGATGAATGCCTATACTGCGGACACTTAACAGTATGACAAAGTCTGGTTGACCAGGTAGGCGTTCGGCGTAGACTTGGCGATGAGAGGGCATTTTAAAGTACCTCGGGAACTTTCGCCGGGAGTATGAAGAACGAATCCTGCACTAAGGTCAGTCAGGCGGCGTCCTTAAATTTATTTTCTTAATGTAGATCGTTCAAACAAGTGGATGTGTGAAAATCGTCAATGATTTTCAATCGTCGAAGAGCATTACCGCTTTATCAGGGACTGTAGACGTTCGTGGTCTGTGTTTTTAGTGATCAATTGTTGTTGGAGCGTATATTTTGTGGTTACCAATTATTTACTCCTGACGCGTTGTTTCGTCTTCAATTGCTCACATTGTCAAAAACGATGCGGCAAGGGTTGTAACTATTTGCAGCTTACCGATCATGTTATTCGAATATCTACGCTATTCGTAATCTTTAGGTGACCAGTAGGTTCGCCGGTTATTCCGTGAAACTTTTGATATACTTAGTGGAGAGGTTCCATATTTCGTAACTCTTAAGATCCACATCCTCTTTGGATGTATCGTCTCTACGATTAAAGTTAAGTGGTTGTTTATTGCTTTCGATAACCTCTCTGAACATTCGTGAATAGTTGTGTAATGTATTACTAAGTATATACTTATATTTCTTTGAATATAATTTGGTGGTTGTCTGTTATAATGATGCCTTCTGCACTGATATTGACCTATTAATACTACATGTTTAGGTCATAATTAACACCCTGACTGTACCAGTGGCTCTTATGCCAAAATGTTTAAAAATAGGGTCAATACCTGTCTAGCGACTCGTAAAATGGCATAAGGTAGAAACATTTTTTCTGCCTTATATTCTTCTACCTGTCCAGTATGGCTTAAATTATGATTTATAATGTATTATTGCATCTGAATTGCTTCCATTTTGTAACTCTTAAAATAATTTTTTATCCTTGCATATATCCTATATTAGGTTATCTGCAAATCCTGACTTATTTACTAAGTATACTTAACAATTCATCTCAAAAATAGGAGATTGTGATATGAGTTTAATTTTACTTCTCCAAAATAGAAACGGTTGACGGAAATTTTTTTTAAGATTTTATATACGAAATAATTGAATATCAACAAAATTAATATTTATGTAACATTATTAAGAAAGTTCCTTTTGTAACATGTATTTTTAAGTGAACAAAGCAAATACGCAGCCATCCAGAATATGACTTCCTGTAGATACTCAAGTGTACTAGTTTAGAGACAGAACCAACAAAAAATTGAAAGAAAACAGATAAGAAAAATAAGGTTTACGAGGTGAAGCTCTCGAGGTTTACTTACAGAGTTACTAAAAAATTTACCACATGTAATAGAAACCCCTGAGGTATTCATCGACTGCTTAAACGGAGGAAACACTCCCGAAGAATATAAATTACGGTATATAACTTAAATATATAAAAAGGGTGACAAGCAAAAATTCAAAAATGATGTAGGATTGAGTGTGACGTCATTTATTGGTAGACTGTGACTAAGAATTTTTAAAAAATCGGCAAGAAAAAGAAATGGTAGATGTCAATGAGGAGACTATATTTACAGCTGATAGGTCTGATACAGATAAATTATTTCTGTCCCATACAGCTAATAAACTAAAGAATTTGCTAATTAACTGCACTTAGTATTTATTGACCTGAAAAAATCTTATGATAGTGCACTCCTAAATAAGTTGTGGCTTGCCATGAAACAGCAAAATATCTCACTAACGTGTGTAAACGCTGTTAAGAACTCTTTGAAGGCAACTTTAGCTTTGTAAGGACATAGAACGGC